CAATTAGTAATGTAACATCCAGTCACAACTCCATTAACTCATTCAGGTTGGCATCATGGGCGGGCTCTCTATATTCTTTCATAGCAACATTAAACAGGTCTACTTTGGGACCATAATTTTTCACAGAACCTTTACAAGGATGTATGTTCCATTTTTGCAATAGTATTAAATAGATCTTTTGTCCAAAAAATCTTATTGGCATTTTTATTGATAATTGTGAATTTCATAGATTAATTTAGGGAGGATTGACATATTTTTGATGTTAGATTATGCTACCCACTGGAGTATTAGTTCCTAGATGGCAAGGATTTTCTCTGTTTTGTTTGGTTTCCAAACTTTTTTTCAGTTTTGCTCAGTCTCCAAAGCCTAGAACAATGCCTGGCATATAGTAAGCACTCAGTTTTTTATTGAATGAATGAGTGGGACGCTTTTACATTTTTTCTGATCCTATGTTCCTCAGAAGTGTTTTTGAAGTTTTCTTCACATACATCTTGTAGGTTTTTCATTAAATTTTTTTTCATGTTTTATTTTTTTGCTTATTGTCAACGGGTTTTTTTTCCCTCTGTGATAACTTCTAACTGGCTATTTGCTTATACAAAGGATATGGTTTTCGGCATATTAATTTTGTCACCAATTTTCTTATTTGCAAGAACTTCTCAAAATTCTCTTGTTTTCACCAGGCATCATTGTTACTTTTCTTAAAACTTTCTGGAGTTTAGCAATTAAGAGTATTGAATTATAAATCCAAGGAAAAACAGCAAACAACTAAATCCTACACTGGCAGTGTGATTCTCGTTGGTTATGTTGAGTGAGTACTCCTACAGAAGTAAACCTGCAATTTCTTTGCTAAGATCACTAAATCTGGTGATTAAGGAAGATGCCAAGTCCAGAACCGTCTCACTCCTTGCCAGCTGAGCATCATCTATTCCCTGTGCTGCTTACTAAATTGGGGATACTACTGTCTTCGCTACATTCTTCTTAATTCGGGGAGGGATGTTTGCAGTTTAAATCATGAAGAAATTGTCACGATGTATTGACTTGTCCAAGTTCCAGTGTTTCACTGCAGAGTGGTGTTAAGTAATCTTTGATAAATAAGTGAACTCATGCAAATGAACGCATCGTTCATCATTTCTCTTTACGATTACGTCATTATGCAAACATTAAACACCAAAAGATACATAAAATGATTGGTTCATCTAATGCAGAGTGCAGGTTAGCAGAAAGTAAATTCCAGAAGCATGTTCCTCCCTCTTCTGACTGCTTCTTTTCTCCTGTTCCCTTCAAAACACCAGTAAAAGATTCCGTCAATCCTCGAGGGTCTAGAGATACCCTACTTGGCAGTTAACATTCTTGTGATTCAGCGCATTTTCTTGCAACAATATTCTGTCTTTACTCCTGAGTTTTGTCTAATTTAGATTCCTCCTTAGTCTGTTCTGCTCAGCTAATCCTGATCGATAAATACAGACAGATTAGACAGGAGACAAAATTGTGAAATAGATGTTGCATTTGGAACACTGAGCCTTCACTCTCTATTGCAGCCAGGACCTGCTCTTCTATGGCCCCCTTAGCCCAAACCACACTCTGGCATGCTGGTCTGTGACTCCTTTGCCTCTGTGACTAGGCTGTAAGCATCTCTAACTTTTCTCGTCTTTTGAGTTTCATCGTCTGGCTCTTCGTAGGCACTCAGTAAATACTTGAATCAATGAATGTACAGATTACTCAATTAACTGGTACATCAGTATTTTCTTTCTTCCATGTTATTAAAACTGGCTCTTGGGGAAAGATTTGAAACATTTTAAAATTAAAGGGTAATTGTGGCGCCTGGGTGGCTCAGTTGGTTAAGCGTCTGACTTTGGCTCAGGTCATGATCTCATGGTTCGTGGGTTTGAGCCACATATCAGGCTCTGTGCTGAGGTCTCAGAGCCTAGAACCTGCTTCGGGTTCTGTGTCTCCCTCTCTCTCTGCCCCTCCCCCAATCGTGCTCTGTCTCTCTCTCTCTCTCTCTCTCTCAAAAAATAAATAAACATTAAAAAAAATTGTTTTCATTAGAGGGGAATTGACCAGTTCACAAGGAAACCCAGATGGGTTTATATTTTAACACAGATTAAATTAAAGGAATTAAGCATTTTCTATGGGCTGCCTGGGTGGCTCTGTTGGTTAAGCGTCAGAGTCTTGGTTTCAGCTCAGGCCGTGATCTCCTGGTTCGTGAGTTCAAGCCCTGCATCGAACCCCACACTGACAGTGCAGAATTTGCTTGGGATTCTCACTCTCTCCCTCTCACTCTGCCCCTCCCCTGCTCCCCGCCCCCCCCCCCATAAAGAAATAAACTTAAAAAAACAAACAAACAGGAGTTAAGGTTTTTCTAGATTTTCAGGATTCAGCCAGAAGTCTGGTAAGGACCTCGGTTCCTTCTGGAGAAAACTACATTGTGCACATCCCATAAAGCTGCATCTGTGCACTGGTAGCCCATTTTATGCAGGAAGCATGTTCTTGAAAACCTGAGTACAAATGAAAATTTTATTAGTTAAGATTTATTTCTACCTTGCCTGGTATTACTGTTTCATCATTGCTTCTTTGCACATTTCTGATTGACCTTTGAGATTTGACCTTGAGATGGGCCCTTAAAGAACTATGCTTCTAATTCTTCATGTACAGACCTATAACCAAATGCTCAAATGATCAACGTACATATTTAGACAAAATGCGAAGAGTTCTTTTGTTGGGCAGAATCGTTAAGCACATTATGTCTCTGTAATGTGAACGGTCCTCATCTGTTATGTAGTTCTCATTACTTTAATTACTTAACCTGATTTTTAAAATAATTTATACCTACCCTTCTGCCAAGAAGGACTTATAGCAGTTGTTAGGTTGACCTCTTTAAATACCAGTTGGGCCTATGTATGTTTTTATGGGATGTAGAAGGGGTTGTTTTATTCTGTTTTAAAAGGGCACAGGTTAAATGCACCCAATGATGGAATTTTGTTTCAAGTGCGTCTGTTAAGTGATGTAAAAGGCCTGTGCTTTTATGCACATGACAAGAATTTTGATTATTGAATTTCAATCATTATTTGGTCTCTCATACGAAATGTAATGAATGAAGCTGACAGCATTCACACTCTTCCTTGGCTTTTACTTTAAAAAGCAATAACAGCTCATGTATGCAGGGTCATGAGTCTGTCATGAAAAAGGGTGTATTTGCGTGCTAAGGTCACAGGACCTGGGAATCTTGAAAGCCTTGCCTGGAATGGTACTCAGTACATTGCTGAGGAAATCAGTGTCCTGCCCCCCTCGCATTCCTTCCTGGAGTACTCTGTTCTCCGTCCAAGATCCGATGAATGATCATTCCTTTTATTAACATGATTTGATTTTTTTCATCAGCTAGTGGGATAGTATACCAGCAGCAACAGTTTAAGAACTTTTATGATAAGCATTCATATAGATTTTTGAAATGATAATTAACTCTGTTATGTGTAATTAAGGAAGGGGAAGAGGTAGGCCGATAACCTTTTTGGTTTCTTAATTTCGAAGAAGAAAGTCCATTCTTGCATTTTTTTAAAATTTTTTTAATGTTTTTATTTATTTTTGAGACAGAGAGAGACAGATTATGAACAGGGGAGGGGCAGAGAAAGAGAGGGGGACACAGAATCTGAAGCAGGCTCCAGGCTCTGAGCCGTCAGCACAGAGCCCAACGTGGGGCTCGAACTCACGGACTGTGAGATCATGACCTGAGCCGAAGTCGGACGCTTAACCGACTGAGCCACCCAGGCGCCCCCATTCTTGCATTTTAATATGAGACTCTTTGATGTCCTAGAAGTTGATAACTCCCGAAATTTATATGTGAGTCGGGAGGAATTAGAAAGCTTGAGTTTCCCGTCCCTACCCAGAAAGTGTGTATGCAGAGGGGGAATAATATAACAGAGAATTTGAAAACAGTGCTGCTCAGAATTGACGTCTGGATAGGTAAATGTTGACTCGACTCATTTTTACTTCTGAAAGAAAGGGTATTCTTAAAGGTTTCTCACTTTCTGTTGTGCCTAAAATCAGAAGACTTGGGTTCCCTCTTGGTGTATAGACTTTGTCTGGATAAGATCTGTGAGATGAGGGATTTATGGCAGTTATCTGGAGTTTCTGAGGACCAACACCACCTTACCATATTGTGACACATTTTGGTAAGAAGTGATGTGAGTTGTTACGTGAAGCCATTGTACTTTGTTTTCTGAAAGATAGAAAACAATGGAGTCAGTAATATTTTTTGTTGAATCTGTAGAAAGCTCTCTTCTCTTGTGCCCATTGGCTTATTCAGCTGAAATGTACCAGGAACTTGAGGTCTGCTGCTGCATGATATGTATTACTATTTAAAATTATTTTGGAAGCCCTTGGGTGGCTCAGTTGATTAAGCATCCGACTCATGGTTTCGGCTCAGGTCATGGTCTCACGGTTTGTGATATCAAGCCAGGCATCGGGCTCTGTGCTGACGGTGTGGAGCCTGCTTGGGACTGTCTCTCTCCCCCCTCTCTCTGCTCCTACCCCATTCGCATGCTCTCTCTCTCCAAATAAATAAACTTCAATAAATAAATAAGTAGATTATTTTTTGTTGTATTATTATTTGAAATTCTGTTCTGGGCCCTGATGTTACAACTCTCTATTGTTCCCTTTGGAGTTACAAGGAGAGAAACCAGAGAAAGTCCCTTGAGGATGGCAGAAAACAAAGGGCAAATATCATTGTTTGTATCTAACCCATGTCAGACTCTTTGTTGTGAACCTTGAGTGGATTACCCCACTGGTACCCATTTTAATAACCTATAACGGGATATCTGCGTCGACTTTATCTGCACGCACGTCTTTACGAGACACGCTGCAAACTGCAAGGGAAAAGAGGCCACAGATCTTTTCTCGTCCAAGAGAAAGTGGAAAGAATTTATGGGAAGGAGTCCCTTCACCATGCGCAACTGCGCCTCGCACTTCTCTCTTTAATAAGGCAAATGCTTTTCTCTTAACAGAGGAATTCAAGGGCTCCACCGTGGTTGAGCTGATGAAGAAGGAAGGCACTACCCTCGGGCTGACGGTATCGGGTGGAATTGACAAGGATGGCAAGCCACGCGTGTCTAACCTGCGGCAAGGGGGAATTGCTGCCAGGTAACTCCCTCTCGGGGAAACGTGGGAAAGGGAACACAGGGTGTGACTAATCCAAAAACCGAAGCTCCATCAGAAACAGTCACTAATAAATAAATGACAGCTGCCATCTGCCGGGCAGAAGCACACCCGGGCGTGTTTGTAGAAGCTTTTCTGGCCCGTGCCAAGTCACCGGGGAGCCGCCTGGCCCTCATAAGACTTTAATTTTAAAACGACTTTGTGGCTCCAGTCCCCAACTATGCCGCTGGACAGCGGACGGGCTGTAGTGGGACTGATGCACTCCGATCATGTAAATGGAGCAGATGGCCCGTATCGTGCGTATGCAGGGAGCGCCCGTGCAGGGATGTGGTAAGCCTACAGGAGTAGGGAAACCCAGCTCCGAGTTTCTAAGTGACGATTTCGCTTGTCTCCCATCTTCTCTGCTTTTCTACTTGTGACATTTCCCTTTTCATCAAGACAAAGATGAGGTTTCCAAAAGGATAGGAAGCTTAGATGGGGGATAGGAAGCTGTCCTTGTGCGATGGGCTGCAGACTGCACTCGCTCTTGCCAAAGGCAGAATGTCCTGCGTGCTGGGTCCAGGCGGGCTTGCCTTATAGACAGATTCAAAATTTACTTCAGATGCGATGGTCAGGTTTCGTTAAAAGTGAGGTTAATATGGGGCGCCTGGGTGGCTCAGTCGGTTAAGCGTCCGACTTCAGCTCAGGTCACGATCTCGTGGTCCGCGAGTTCGAGCCCCGCGTCGGGCTCTGGGCTGATGGCTCAGAGCCTGGAGCCTGCTTCCGATTCTGTGTCTCCCTCTCTCTCTGCCCCTCCCCCGTTCATGCTGTGTCTCTCTCTGTCTCAAAAATAAATAAAACGTTAAAAAAAAAAAAATTAAAAAAAAAAAAAGTGAGGTTAATGTATCTTAAGTCCCGGACACCAACAGTCTTGTCCACGTAATCGCAAAAATAGTTTGGGCCTTCTTAACCTTACAAAGGATCATCAAAAATAGTGATTACTTTTGGTGATCAACCCATCTGTACAATGTATAAGCTTAAGCCAATTGACTGCTTCATAATCTGAGGTACTGTTTATGAAATAGGCTGATGTCAACACAGGCACCGTCATCTCCTTTTTTCACGAGGGAAGAGATTTCTTTCCACACCGACAGCTTCCTTTATTTTATAACAGTCATGGCCAATCTCCGATGCTAGGGTCTCATATGTCTCCAGAACTTTTTCATAGGTAGGCCCTGTAGCACGGGTAAATAGGGCGAAGATCTTCAGTTGTATTGATGCTATAATTAAAAGTATTGTTGGGGCGCCTGGGTGGTTCAGTCAGTTAAGCAGCCTACTTCGGCTCAGGTCATGATCTCGCGGTCCGTGAGTTCGAGCCCCATGTCGGGCTCTGTGCTGACAGCTCAGAGCCTGGGGCCTGTTTCGGATTCTGTGTCTCCCTCTCTCTCTGACCCTCCCCTGTTCATGCTCTGTCTCTCTCTGTCTCAAAAATAAATAAACGTTAAAAAATTTTTTTAAAGTATTGTTGGCATTGTCAACTGTGGAGACTGCCCACATGTCCACCGATGGATGAATGGATAAAGAAGATGTGGTATATATCACAATGCAATGGAGTATTACTCGGCCATCAAAAAGAAGGAAATCTTTCCGATTGCAATGATGTGGATGGAGCGAGAGTGCATTATGCTGAGCAAAATAAGTTAGTCAGAGAAAGACAAATACCATATGATTTCATTCATTTGTGGACCTTAAGAAGGAAAACAGATGAACATATGGGAAGGGGGGGAGAGAAGAGAGAGAAACAAACCACACGAGACCCTTAATGGTAGAGAACAAACTGAGGGTTGATGGAGGGAGGTGTCTGGGGGATGGGCTAGATGGGGGATGGGCATTAAGGAGGGCGCTTGTGATGAGCACTGGGCGTTGTATGTAAGTGATGAATCACTGAATTCTACTCCTGAAACCAGTGTTGCACTGTCTGCTAACTAACTGGAATTCAAATAAAATTTGGAGAAATAAAAAAAAAAAAAAGTAACGCTGTGCTGGTTATATTATCAATGACCAAATTAGTCATTGTTTAAGGCACTACCATTTTATAAGTAGTAAAGGAAAATAATTAAAGATAAGAACTCTGCCCTAAGGGGGCTGATAATTTACTAGAGAAGATGGGTATGAACAACATGAAAAGTTTGGGAACAATAACAGCATTGCCACAACGTGAGCATCATCACAGAGCGTTGGGTGGTTACGTTGCCCAGTGAGTTAGTGAACCCAAGGGAGGAAGGACAGCATGGACCGCAGGCTGGCACAGATGAGGAAAGCTTGCGAAAGAGGAATGATTCAGGCCGGACTTCGGTAAAATAAATGCATACATGTTTCTGTTTGGGGAGAAGGTATTATTGAAGGTCCTTATCCGCGACGCGAATTTTAAGTACTGTCTTTGGTCTCATTGCTTGCTCTTGCCTTAGAAGTAAAGTCTGCCTAAACCCCCAAAGTAGCCATAGTTCTTCTATGGTGTTGAAGAGAGGCGAGAATGGTACTGAAACCCAATGCTTTCATTGTAATTTGTTCTTTTTTCATCAGCCCTGCTGTAAGCATTCAATAGCAGAACAAGCGGACCCTCTCCTTAGCCCTCAACAAACTCCCAGTGCAGATACTGAGAGCTAGGAAATGTCCAGGAGGCAGGCAGCAAAAATGAGAGAGAATGAAAGGAAAGAAAAAGTCTGGGCATGCCAAGATCTGGATCATCTGTTTCTAGAGAACCAAACTCTTTATGGACAGAGCAACCAAAAAAAAAAAAAAAAAACCCACAACAACAACAAAACAAAACAAAAAACCCAAAACCTCTTTATTTTATTTCATGTGCTCTTTAAAAACAGAAGAGGGAAAGGGTTAGGGAAAAAAATGAGAGACCGTAGCAGATCCAATAGAGGGATATGTCAAGGTATCCCTCCGTATCCTAGGAGGCAGGGGCTCCTGCCAGGCAGGCCTCCCGGGCTTACGTGCATTTGCAGGAAGGGAAAGTGGAAAACCGGGGCAGGCCTGGGGAGAGGACGGGTCCACTGAAGCCACCTTGCCTATTTTGCAGAAGCGATCAGCTGGATGTGGGTGACTACATCAAAGCAGTGAATGGGATCAACCTGGCCAAGTTCCGCCATGATGAGATCATCAGCTTGCTGAAGAACGTTGGGGAAAGAGTGGTTCTTGAAGTCGAGTATGAGCTGCCGCCAGTCTGTAAGTAATCACAATTCAGGGGCGGGACAGCTACGCCACCCCTTTGCCTAAAACAATTCGTTCTCCATGTTTTCCCTTTTGGCATCGTTGTCTCATTACAGGAGTGATAGAACACCGTTTCTGGATATTTAGAAATTATTTAAATTGATACACCTATAGCCCACTCCGGAAGAATCAAAAAGAGCTCAGAAAACAATAAAATTATACAGGACTCGTGTTCCATTAAGGTCATCTGTGTATATCACTCTTTGTAAGGTCTGCACATTAAGTTCGATCCAAGCTCTGCACAGAGGGACTAGGGTTAGGAAAAGCATGTGTAATGTGTTCTGTGTTGATTCTTGTATAGTTATGTTAATTTCTGAAGCATGAAAATTGATTCAAAGCACATTCTTACCAAGTAAAAATAATAGTAATGTAACAAGAGTAGCCAACACATTTCCAGAGCTTACTAAATGTCCGGCTTTATAAGGAACCTGACCTGCACGGATACACTTCATTCTCACCATGAGGAGTGTCAGCCTAGCAGAGCTGGACTTGGATGTCAAATAGCCAGGTTCAGATCCCAGCTTCACCTTTAACTACGTGCCCTTGAGGAAGTTGCTCAAGCTTTCTGTGTCTCAGTTTCCACATCTGGGAAATGGGCGTAATGTTAGTTCCTGCTCATATAGCTGTTGTGAGGATTAAATGAGTTAGTATTTGTTGGGCAGTTAGAACAGTAGCTGGCACAATAAAAATTTTTGATAAATAATGTATACATTAGCACTATAAGAGAGGCATTATTATCATTAAATTTCTCATTTACAGAGGCTTGAGTGAAGTATCTTTCCCAAATAAATAGGCAGCAGAATCAGTATGTGAAGCCAGGCTCCCTGACTCCAAAGTCCATATGCTTATTCGTTGTGACATATACTTATGCTGTGTGTTACTGCGGACCTGCATTTAAGCCATGCTCTGCTAACACCACGTCTCCTATTATTAAGCTGTCAACGTAGATGCCAGCCTGACAAAACCCTTTGCTTTTCTATGCCAGTGAGAACTCAGACTGAATATTAATCATTGATAATAACTCATTTGTTCAGCAATGACTTATTGAGCACTTGTTACATTGCGGCCGCCGCGTTGTATACTGGTGGAGTTTACATTTAGACAAGGGAAGACGGATAACAAAACAAGACCCCAGTAGATAAGTAAACTGGACAGCATGAATGCTAGGGGTCATGAATGCTAGGAGAAAAAAGAAAGAGCCAGGAGAGGGATTGGGAAGGTGGGGAGAGGTGTGGGATTGCAGTTTGAAATCGGGTGGCTCGGAAAAGCCTCACTGAGGCTGTGTCGGTGACTTGAAGGCAGTGAGAAAGTTGGTCGTGTGGATTTCTGGGGAAAGAGAACTGCAGAGAGAACAGCCAGTGCTACGATCAAAGGCAGGAATACACTGGGGTTGTTGGAGAGACGTTAAGAAGGGTAATTTGGCAGGAGCAGAGTGAGCGTGAAGAGAAGTAGAAAAGGAGGTCAAAAATGTAACGGATGAGGTATATTTGGAGGCCGTTGGAAGGACCTTAAGTTTGGCTCTGGATGATAGAGGATGGCATTGTATGAGTTGGGGCAGGAGGCACAGGGTCTAATTCCTGTTTTCAAAGCCTCCCTCAGGCTGTTGTGTTGAGAACAGACTGCAGTGGCTAGGGTGGAAGCTGGGAGACCAGCTGGGGGGCTGTTGTCGTGATCCAGTTGAGAGACTGTGGTGAGGATGGAGAAAAGCAGTTACCTTCTTGATCTATTTGAGGGTAGAGCCATCAGGACCTCCTGACAGATTGGATGTGGGTTGTACAGAAATAAAGGAGTCAAAGGCCCCCTGAGATTTTGGGCCTGAGCAACCGGACAGGCAGGGTTGCCATTCATGGGGTTGGGCAAGAATGTGGGCAGGGCTGATTTGCGAGGGGGCCATCAGAAGACCAGAAGACGTTCATTGTTTGAAATGCTACAGTGGACATGTCTCTTTGATGTGCAGAGAAGAAATGTCAAGAAAAGCACTAGAGATGGGGTTAGGAGTTTGGGAGAAAGATCTGGGCTGGAAATGTACATTTAGAGTAATGGGAATATAGAGGGTGTTTGAAGCTTTGGGACCAAACGTGAGCACTCAGGGAGTGAGTGTATATGACCAGTCGTGAGTTCTTATTCTGAACATAAAATCCAACACCAAAAATATAATGGTGTTTTTATAACAAAATCAATTGAGGTCTGTGTTCAAAAACCTCCCTGTAACATTTTTCATTTTCAGCAAGAGCGGACAGTAAAATCGAGCGCTGAGAGCTTGGACTGTGTCACTAGTTAAATATCAGTTTCTCCCCCTGTCCAGCTGTGTGACCTTGGGCATGTTATTTAAGTTCTCTGAGCCTTAGGTTTCTCATCTGTAAAATGGCTATAATAGATGTAGAATTTTTGTCAGAATTCAAGGCTATAATCGTGTGAAATACTTGGATTATCGTCATGTACTCAGTAAGATATAGTGCCTGTTAGTCATTATTACATTATTATTATTCCACTGAAAGTACTGTGTTTTCTTTTACTTTAAAGAAGTCCATTTGTTTTGAAATCACTATCTCAAAGCATCACCAAGGAGGTAAGAGAATCCAGATATCTAGACCTAATGCTCTTGGATTAACCATTTTGATTCCCCTGGGGAAATAAATATCAACAAAACACACCCTCTTTCTAAAACAAACTCTTAGTACAGCTTTCCAGGGCTAAGGCCAGTAGTGGAGATTTGCCAAATTATGTGTGAACTACAGCGAGGAGTTTGAGAAGCTTTGAAGGAGGTTACGCAGATCCAGTAAGAAGAGAAACATTTTGGGCAGAGGGAAGAGCAAGGAACGAAGAACTTAGCCCAGTGCACAGGTTTGAACCACAAACGGACTCTTGTTGTTGAGGCACAAAGGGAAAGAGAGGACCTGGAGGGAGATAAGGCCAGCGAGGTGGACAGGAACAAAATGATGGAAGCCCCACTGGTGGAGCCTGGATAAATCAGGTGGGCAGCAAGAAGCCTTTAAAGGCTTTTAAAGCCAACGAACATCATCAGCAGATTTGAGTTTTTAGAGTTCTCATTTTAGGAAGCCAAATGGAGAATAGATAAGAGGCTATCAGCCGCCTGAAGGCTGTTACAGTTTTCCAAAAGAGAGGTGACATCCTGAACAAATATAGCATTGGTAAGGTTAAAGAGTAGAGTGGATATCAGACATATACAGGAGTTGAAACCTATCATGACTTGGTGATTATACCACCTTTTCCTTCCTCGTGCATGAAAGCTGATGAGGAAGAGGAAAAATACTTTTTAAAACAAAAGTGTGAATTCGATGGTAGAAATCCGATAGAAGAGATCTATTCTCCAAGGATTATCTCTGTCTCTATTATGTTTGGGTAAATTAATCAGATCTTTGAGTTCAGGGAGGGATTAATAAACATCCCCTTCACTGAGCTCAGACTGCTAGAGCTGGGACCAAGCCGCTGCAGTGAGGCCCTAGGGAGAGAGCAGATTGCTGAAAAATAAGCTGCCCAAGGCCAAGGCCGAGACAGGTAACTCTCAAGAATCACATAATTTGAGGCTCAGCCACCCGCAGAGTCCAGAAAGAAGTGGAGGAAGGATATTTGTTGCATGTCTGTGTGTATGTGATCTGATAGAGAAGGAATGGAATTCTGACCTTGCTCAAACCACTTACCTTTTGTAAGACTCAGATTCTTTATGAAAATGGCGTGGTTGATCTACATGAGCTGTAAAGTTCTTTTTGACTTTAGAATTACATTGTAGTTTTGAGACTGTATTTAGCGAGAATATTTCCAAACTGTATCTTAGATATTTATGTATTAAAAGTTGGTCTATGGGTACCTGGGTGGCTCAGTTAGTTGAGTGTCCAGCTCTTGGTTTTGGCTCAGGTCATGATCCCGGGGTCATGGGATCGAGCCCCATGTCAAGCTCTGCACTGAGCGTGGAGTCTGCTGGGGATTCTCTCTCTCTGTCTCTCTCCCCTGCGTGCTCTCTCTCTCTAAAATTAAAAATTAAAAGTTGGTCTAGGGGCGCCTGGGTGGCGCAGTCGGTTAAGCGTCCGACTTCAGCCAGGTCACCATCTCGCGGTCCGTGCGTTCGAGCCCCGCGTCGGGCTCTGGGCTGATGGCTCACAGCCTGGAGCCTGTTTCCGATTCTGTGTCTCCCTCTCTCTCTGCCCCTCCCCCGTTCATGCTCTGTCTCTCTCTGTCCCAAAAATAAATAAAACGTTGAAAAAAAAAATTAAAAGTTGGTCTAGAGCAATGCCTTCATGTTTTGTGGTGACATAATCCCTAAAGAATTTTGAAACCATAATCCTCATTTATTTTTTAGTAAGCCACCTAACATTCTTTATTATAAGCTTAAATCATTGGAAAGGATATAATTTCTGGCATGCTGTTCGTTTTATATACCTTTAAGTGAAGTTTCCATTCAGACCTTAGAGCTACGTATTTGCCTCATTTGTTTTATGGAAAACGTCTGCTACAGAATCTGATTGGCAAAGGCAATCCTCACTGTTAAACCGTCGGCTAAATCAGATTAGCTTTCTATCAGACGGAGTTCTTTAATTCAAAAAGATGTGTTAAAGTGTGTCCCTGTGATTGCCTCTTACTTGTCAATTCCAATTCTAAGAGAGATAGACAGGTGACAGATGATGGTGATGATGATGATGATGATGATGATGATGATGATGATGGCGGCAATGGGGGGCGGGGGGAGCAGTCTCAGGTCTCCTCCACGTAGTTCCTTCCAGGATTCAGTCTGAAGGAGCAGAAACCACCCAGAGAAAGCTCTTCCTGTGGCCATAGCAGAGGAAAAGCAGGATAGTCCCAACTACCCGAGCACATTTCCAACCAAGTGCTTATTACATCTCTTAACATCCCATTGGCCAAAGCGAGTCACATGGGGAAGCCCGACATATTGAGGAGGGAAAGTATACAACCCTTATCATGCTATTGAGGTTGGAGTTGAGGAGTCAGGGAAATAGTATATCATGTAGAAAAATCTAATCTGCCATAGCAAAATAATATGGATAGCAGTACATGCATATTCACATACAGAAACAAGGGACAGCAGCACCACTAAAATACTGAGGAGAAGTATTTTTGCTTTGCAATATTCATTTCAACTTAACCCTTCTGTGTACTGCATTTGATTCTCTGGGGAAGCTCCTTATGTGGATCCATTGTCTCCACATACACAAATGTGAAGTAATGAATAAAATGCACGTGGCAATAGCAGGGGTCCTGCTACTGGATATGAAAACCCAGTCACCAAGATCCAGTCATGCAAATGAAAATTATGAAGACCAAATCTATTTCATTAAGTATCAAAATGCAGTTAACATTCACATTTATTTTTGTGAAGGATAAACAGCAAGAGTATGGATAATCCAAAGCTGTAGATAATCCTAAAAGTCTTTGTATTGACTCTAGATTGGAATGTAGGAGTTTGTGGTCAACAAGATTGAGCTCAAACAAAATTCAAACTACGGTGAACTATGGTGCCTTTTTTAAAAAATATTTTTGAGGTTTATTTATTTATTTTGATTGAGAGAGAGAGAGAGAGAGAGAGAGAGAGAGAGAGAGAGCAGAAGAGGGGCACAGAGAGAGGGAGACGAGAATCCCAAGCAGGCATCACGCTGTCGGCACAGGACCCGATGTGGGGCTCAGATTCACCAACGGTAAGATCCATGACCTGAGCTGAAGTCGGACGCTTCAGCGACTGAGCCACCAAACTACAGTGCCTTTCGTTCCCAGAACAGACACCCGGCCAACAAGGACAGGTGGCCCCGAATTAGAATTTGGTTGTATAGAATTAAAAGCTGATTTAATGTTTAAATGAAATAGTATTTGTAAACCACTTTGCAGATTTCCTGGCACACAGTGGACGCTCATTAATTCTTTCTCCCTGTATCTTTTCCTTTCCTTTCTATTTGTTTCATTAGAACAAAAAGATCGTGTTCTCAACCAATTACCTCAAGTGGCTTGTTTGTCATGAAAATAAGAAAACGTTTGATTTGAACTCAGTTTCTTTCATTTAATTAAAACTGTACCTCAACACTTTCAGCTATTTGTGTACCGTTCCTAGCTGATTAAAATGAACTGAAATTCCCTTGCTAGCAAGAATATGACATTTAATTAAATCAGCAGTATACCAAAGCATTTGTTCAGCTGTAGGGTTATGTTGTTTTTCAGCAGATCCAAGTTCGTGACGTACTTTATATCCCAGCCAGATGTGCGCAGTTTTGTGAATTTATCTGTGTGCTTTTCATAATCATGTCTATTCCTTTGAGGATTCAGAATTTCTGATAATTAAAAATAATTGTAATCAATGCTAAATTAAAATTACTTCCTATTTCTGTAAATGGCAAGAAATGTTCTTTTAATAGATGCAATTAAATTCTATCTTTAGAATCTATACCTATATTCCATCATATATTTCTTATTGATAAATGTTTCATGCAATAAAGTTTTCAAAATCTAATCGCAATGTTAAAAATATGCCATTGATAAGGACCACAGCATAAAGTAATTAGATATCATTGTACAAATTCACTTAAGGATCTAAGACCATCAGATTCTATACTTGCAAATTCTTTTCTCTCTCTGAATAAAAACATCCCTGTATCCATAATGATGAAATATTAATTTGTGGAAATTTGGTTGTTGTTGTTGTTTTTTAATTCAGCAATAGTGTACTATCTAAGCAGAATTACCCACCACTTTCCTGGAAACAGTCTCACAGAAGAGTTTAGTTACTATACCTTCATACAACCTACACCCCGTATTACACACGTATACTGTATGTGATATTAATTAGAGATATCAACTTGGCCATGCAGTTTTATTTTGTGAAGTAAGAGCCGTAAGCAGGCAAACATAACATAAGCATGATAGTATCAAATGAAATCAAGTAAATATTTTATTAGACAGCAGTAACATTTTGAATGTACAGAAATATTTTTGCCCTCCAGGTGTGATTTGTTTGGGTTGCTGATGTCTTTGTTAGTTGCTGTGCATCGTGTCAGAAAACCTGTCTTCATCGCCTAATCTATTAGTGGTAATTTGAGAGTAATACTTTTTCTTCCTGCATTTCCTCCAAAAATAAATGTAAATACATTAATTATTTCAAGGTTTACAAAAATCATATTGCTTTTGCATTTCACAAAGGGAAAATAATTCTATTGATTACATAAAGAGTATCTCTCCTGGTATATAGAGTTTTAACGATGTGAATATTACACTCTAGCTAGAAGCTGCCTCCATAAGAAGAAAGGAAGTGCCTATGATTTTGATTCCACTCGGGTCTAAGCCTAAGTCCCTAATGCAGACAACTATTTTATGGTATTTGTATGTATTTTTTTAACATTTTCTTTGAAAAGCAGTTATCGCCCTTGTATTTTTCATAACAAGAATTATTTGCAAGGGGGATCTGTAGTATTTTATGCCACATTAAAAAAAACTGGAGGGGCGCCTGGGTGGCTCAGTCGGTTAAGCGTCCGACTTCGGCTCAGGTCACGATCTCGCGGTCCGTGAGTTCGAGCCCCGCGTCGGGCTCTGGGCTGATGGCTCAGAGCCTGGAGCCTGCTTCCGATTCTGTGTCTCCCTCTCTCTCTGCCCCTCCCCCGTTCATGCTCTGTCTCTCTCTGTCCCAAAAATAAATAAACTTAAAAAAAAAAAAACAGGAAATGATGTTATGATTTAATATATTTCTCTCTCTCTTTCCTGCATTCAGCTGTTCAAGGATCGAGTGTTATTTTCCGAACGGTGGAGGTCACATTACATAAAGAAGGCAATACCTTTGGTTTTGTAATCCGAGGTAGGTGATGGCTAGAAAACATGAATCATCAGATATTCTTAGAGAATTTGTCAATGAAATATTGGGAGTGAACTAGAAAGTCATCCTGAAAACAACAGCAACAACACATGTTCCCAATGCGTAAAGTCCCCTTATAATATTTGCACCCATTCTTTTAAAAAATAAAGCAATGAGTAGGAATCAAAGTGGAATCCAAATGACTTAGATCTGCTTTCAGTCCATACAGAGTAAGAAATCACTGTTTGTAAACCTTGTCAATTCATTCATCCTGCTGATTTGCCACTTTTCTACATGTCTTTTGCTTTCCCTTTATACTTTTCTGTATCTCTGAGTCAAAAATGTTGATGAATATGGCTTGGTTTGACTTAATACACTAGGATTAAACAACTTTGCTTAAATTATTTTCTCCTGAAATACATTTTGTTATTGTAGCTTTCTAAAAATGGATTGAAGATAATCTGATCCCTTGGGAACCTATGTGCATCAGCTTAACTTATTTTATTATGGGATGACATTAATAATAAAGATTTCAGGTGACTCCAACTTGGCTATAAAACCATGAATTCTGAGCTGTAATTCTGACTTTTAATATTTTATTTTTCTTATTAGCAGTTTCACCCCTCAAAGACTATACATAAACAACTCATAATTCTGCATATGACAATAAAGTTCAATAGGGAACTATGTATGCATCAGAAATGTTTTTAACATTTCACATTTCGTGATGTTTTTTGCTTTTACCTATTATATTCTATACTTCACCAGGATCTAAAATTTATCCAAATTATTAAAACATTAATTAAAATTAACTAAGCATCTTGGGGTGCCTAGGTGGCTTGGTCGGTTAAGTGTCCAACTTCAGCTCAGGTCATGATCTTGTGGTTCATGAGTTCGAGCCCTGCATTGGACTCTGTGCTGATAGCCCAGAGCCTGGAGCCTGCCTTGGATTCTATTCCTCCCTCTCTGCCCTCCCCAGCTCGTGCTCTGTCTGTCTGTCTGTCTCTCTCTCTCTCAAAAATAAACATTAAAAAAATTTTTTAATTAACTAAGCACCTTAATAAATGCACATGCATCAAGGAATAAAAGAAATACATTCATTTATACAGATTTGTCTTAAATGACTAAGCTTTAGATTCCATTCTGTACCAATCATTTAGCAAATCAATCAGTCAGGTATTTATTAAGGACAGGTCAACATGTCAGCATAGGGCCAAGTATTAGAGAGTCATAGGACAGGACCCCTATCTGCAGGGAATTATAGTCCAGTGAATTTAAGACAAAGTGCCTGAGTGAGCGGTAGAGAAAATGGAAAACGAGGAATTCACTGAGTGGTTTATACCAGCAATTATTACCCTTTTCTGACCAGCTCCTTTTTTTAGGTGGTGCAAACAGGATCATTTTACTTTCATCATTTACCTTAACCATTCCCAAATTTCTGTGTAAAAGAACTAGATGAATATAGTAAAAAGTCAATATAAAAGTAATTTTGGCTCAGAGGGTGGTACAAATCCGTTTTTGCAGTGTAGTATGATAGAGAGGCACTCTTGAATCACATGCATACAAGCCTAATTACTGAAAAGCTGCAGTAAAAAATACTGCTGGGTGCAAATATTCATTACTAGTTGTTGTGTGGTTAATCAATAGTAAATCAAATTGCTAATGAAAGAACTAAAACAACAGTAATTTATCATTAGGAACAGAAAAAAACGGAAGCATTTGAAATCTACAACCACCACAAGACAGCTGATGATACAATGTTAGCAAAATGCTTATCTTGCCATTTGCAGGAATTTCTTTTTAAAAATTTTTTTTTCAACGTTTATTTATTTTTGGGGACAGAGAGAGACAGAGCATGAACGGGGGAGGGGCAGAGAGAGAGGGAGACACAGAATCGGAAACAGGCTCCAGGCTCTGAGCCATCAGCCCAGAGCCTGACGCGGGGCTCGAACTCACGGACTGTGAGATCGTGACCTGGCTGAAGTCGGACGCTTAACCGACTGCGCCACCCAGGCGCCCCTAGGAATTTCAAATATCTGTATGTGCATGAGTAATAAGAATTTTATAATATGAGCCTAGGATACTATCTGGTACATCGTAGGCCCTTAACAAATAAATGAATAAGTAATTGAATGTTGCCTAGATTTGTGCGGACATCAGACTTCTTAGTGCTATAGTGATTTTAGTTTAGGGGCACCATATTTTGGTTAGCTTTAAAAACTCACTTAGTATATTAGTTGAACGTAAAAGTTTGTGAAATTTTGCACAATTTCTCATAAGAATCACATAAAGAACTTAATGTTTAGATTAGTTTGAGGCCTATCTGAAGGCTCTTCCTTGCTCAAAAGGTGACCCCCACCCATTGCTTCAGAATCTTGATTAGTCACAAGAAGAGTTGCAGAATGAGAAAGTACTGTGGGCAAGTGTTATCATGGCCAAGAAGACATTATGGCATAGATGGAATTTGAGCTCAACTTATTTTAGTGAGAACACCAGGACTTTCAGGAAGAAGGAGGACAATATTACAGATGCAGCATATTCATTTAGTACTGGTGAATTTCTTCTTAACCAAATAGAATGGGTCATAGAACAATAATACAGGCTTTTACCTGATGAATGGAATTGCATTTCCAGTGCTACGTGTCATAGGTTCTAGCACCTTGACTCGCCAAACAGTAGAACCTGGCACCTTGAGAATGAAAAATGATGTTCTGGCCTAAATCTTGCCAGAGTTAAATTTCAGTTAATTCCCTCGCCGCCAAGCTAAGGCAAACAGCTTGGGACAATAAGGAAAGCACTCTGCCACTAAGTTCTTTTTCACTTTGGGCAAGGAAGATTTACCTATTGATCACTCTCAACTCTGAAATTATAGATAGGTCTACTCATCTGCTAGATAGAGCCCAATGTTCAGATTTGGTCTGTGTTGTGTCTCTGGCATTGATACTTTTAAAAAGCATTCCAGGGGACTGATGCCAACAGGCAGCCAGGATTGAGAAATACCACTGGGCTCTGTGTGTGTCAATTGCTTTGCAGTTCCAAACTTGTAAAATGTAAGTGAATCGCAAGCTACATCTGGTTCATTATTTCAAATAATGGTAAAATGTCACATATCGAGAAATTTAGAGCCATCTCACACTTTGCCATGCATTCACTGTTACAGATTTAAATGTGGACCTCCAAATCAAAATTATGGAAGCTTGTATGGCCGTCAGCCCCCATCCTTTTCTAAATCAATATCCCTTCAGGAGAAAACAAACCTACCTTTTTATGATCCCCTTGCAAAAGAGAAATTACATAGTAGTATTTATATAAATATGGGTAAGCATGTGCTGTAATTTATTGTCATGGTTTCATTTTAAAATCCTTTTCCAAGGAAGTTGTGAATTTCCTATTGTAAACAAGGAGGAATTTCAAAAGAAACCATCAAACTGAGTGGAAGAGTGAGGTACTGAAAGGGAGCTTTTATCAATCAGCCAGACTGAATAAATCATTGGTAATAGAAGTAAGCAGAAAGGAAGCATTTGCCTTCATCGGGAGCAGTGAATGCCTTTTGATTTGTCTTTTAGGTTAGATTCTTTAAGTTGACCTCTCTACCCGTTCCAAGTTTGGGAAATGCCAGTCTGTTCTACCAGGAAGGTGTTATGGAAGGAATATCTGACGATAACATTCGTATTTATCAGATACTGGCAGGTATCTGGTGGGTAGCCAGGATGGTGAGGTGACCTGATACGGAAATCAGGTCAGATGCAGAATAGTTAAGAAAGTGGAAATGTCCAGCCTAAAGAAGATGAGACTTAGCAGGTGTATAATCACTGTTTTCAACTTTCAGAAAAAGTTTCTTGTAGTAGAAAGCATACATTTTTGTTTCACTGCTCCAAATAATAGAATAAGAACAAGTAGGTGAAAATTGAAGGAAGTTAGATATCAGATGAATAATTAGGAAGAAGCTTCTAACACCCCTACACGTCCGAATGTGAAATGGGCTGCCTCAAACCTAATAAGTAGGCCATCTGGTGGGTCTCAAGAAAAGACTGGGGGAGCACAGACTATGGACGTTCTACAAAAGGGTCCTGGATTTAGAAGAGACTTTATAATAAATTACCTTCCATCTAAAGGCTTTTATGTTTCCAAGAACTCTTGAGCAGAAGTTTTCCATATACGGAAATAAAATCTCCATTTAAGCATTGCACTTGTCTTGAAATTATGTGTCCATTTTTTGAACACCCCAACTTTAATGGAACCCATCTCAGCCACTTGAAGTTTTTTCTTTCTTGTTTTATATACTTACGTATTTCCCCCCCTCTCCAGTTTTTGCTTCCTTTATGCCAGGTTGTAGACCTATTCACCTGTATTATAGCCCAGGTTAATTGGCAACAGGTATACCCACCTGCACTGTGTTGATAACTGGCTATTGTCATAATTAGGCTAGTACTTGTTAAGTAGTTTATGTTCTTACGACGCTGGGTTAAATATGTTATATATCGCCCCTGAATACAGCCATGTATTTATTGAGAGGTGGAGACATCATGACTTCAAAAACATATTCTATATAAAATGAATAAGATTTTTGGAAAAATTTTACACGTTTTCCTCCATACAGCAATAAAATGTACTTTAGTTTCTCAGCTGCCATTTTGTAAGTGAATTTTTTTTTTTTTTAATGAAGGCACTTATAAGCTGTATTTCTTTTGTTTTCCCAGGAGGGGCACATGACGATAGAAATAAATCTCGTCCAGTTGTAATAACGTGTGTTCGTCCCGGAGGACCTGCTGACAGGTAAACTTCCTCTGTCTGTGTCACTATCCAAACAGATTCAACAAAGCTGGGGACTTTGGCATAGAGTTGAGGAATTAGAAATTTCAGAGTGAAAGATAGATATTAAGCAAACGTGTTGGAATGTGAATACTGAAATTGTCGGGCTGCCAAATCAGAAGAAAGAAGGTCTGACTCCAGGCTCAACACTCACTACCCTATGTGTTTGGCAAGTGACTTACCAGTTCTAAGCTCAGTTTCCTCCACTGTGAAATGTCGATAATAATACCTACCTGACAAGGTCTTCAGTTTTATCAGAGACTGGCTGGGGCCTTGCAGGGGACCTTTCATGCAGTAGATACTTAATAAAAGGTAGCTGGCTTTTTAAAGGCACGTACTTTAAACACATCGTCTCCCATTGCTAACCTCCTCCCCTGGAAAGATAGGTGGTGATGTTCTGACTGTAACTATTAATCAACATCCTTCTGGTTATTATTATCTGTTGATGATGATTATGTATGTGAGAATGGAAGTGATTTCAATAAAAGGGAAGGAGCGTTGTCAGTACCTAGAGCTATCTCTTCGGGACTTATTTGAGTATCTGAAGAGGCAGCTCCTTCATCTCTCATATCACAAATATTAGAGGAGGTTGTTCGTAAACGCACAACTTAGCTGTCTCAGGAGATGCTTGTCTTTGTATTAATTTCCCATCGCAAACGTCAATTCCATAAAGGCAAGGGACCACAACTCCGGCCATTCGCTGTGGTTGAAGGGTGGGAGAATAATGCCCTGGTTACCCCTGACTCTGCACTATGTTTCAAACCGGGATATAATGTTTAAACCTTTTCTTATGCAACAGAAATAGTAATAATAAATACAATTGATTGAGCACCGAGCCATGTGCTAGGAAATGTACTATGTGTTTAGCAGACACTATTTTATTTGTCCTCACAGCTGCCTACTAAGTACTTTTTAGCCACACTTACAGTGATAAAACTGAGGCCCCGTGTGGGTACATGACTTACCAGCTAGTACACGGAAGAGCCAGGCTAGGAATTCAGGTTCATTCTCCTTCAAAATCCATACTGTTAGCTCACTTTTCTAAAAAGTTTGTGTTTAATATAAAATAAGAGAATAAAGGGGCGCCTGGGTGGCGCAGTCGGTTAAGCGTCCGACTTCAACCAGGTCACGATCTCGCGGTCCGGGAGTTCGAGCCCCGCGTCAGGCTCTGGGCTGATGGCTGATGGCTCAGAGCCTGGAGCCTGTTTCTGATTCTGTGTCTCCCTCTCTCTCTCTGCCCCTCCCCCGTTCATGCTCTGTCTCTGTCCCAAAAATAAATAAACGTTGAAAAAAAAAATTTTTTTTAAATAAAATAAAATAAGAGAATATGAAGATACTGCTTTCTCACCTGTGCCATAGTATGTTTGCCTTTGCAGAGGACAATACAAAGTCAGAATTTGCACAGAAATCTTGCCTTTTTTTCCCTCTCTCCTGCTTCTCTTGTGAATTATTCTTCCTGCAGTAAATGAGAATATTTCCGTTCCTTATTAACATTTACCTTGGGGTTAACAAAAATGTCAGAAGCAAGCTACCAGTTTCTGAGCAACATATTATCAAATTAACTTAGGATGAAATGGAATCTAAAAGTTTAAGATAAAAATTTAGAGTCAAAATTCTTAGAGAATTATCTAGGCGAAGGATATTTAAGAGATCGCTCTTATCCTTTCCAAATCCTCAACTTGTAATCCTCCCACCTCAGTTTGATTTCTCATATCATGACCCTCCCTGAGGCAGGAGGGTTATAATCTGGAAGCCTCCTGGCTATATTTTAGTGGTGTCTCCAATGTCCTCAGGCATCTTCTTCCAGTGCCTTGAGTGTCTATGGTCACAGCAGAAAGAATAGTATTTCCCTGTCTCTTCCAAGGAATATGAGACTGAATCGATTTAATGATTGCCTAAATGGCCTTATAAATCAATAGGGAAATGTGTAGACTAGGGAAATTTTTCACCAGTGCTCCCAGTCCTGCTTGGGTTCACTGATAATAAATGGAATGGAATCAGCAGGCTTTTCTGCTCACCTGGCTTTGGAAAAAATAGGTAAATGCTATTTTCTGGGCCCTAATAAATCAATTTTAGGTATTTAGACAAGAACGTAGAAAAGGGAAAATGTGCCTTTAGTATTTTTGCACCCCAAGAATTAACTGGGGGTAAACTTGGTGATCGACTATTGGGCAGTTATTTCCTTATTACTGACTTGCATATTGCAACAATTTTCTGCTGCACCTCTTTAGTCCCTTACTAAAGAGCCACCTCTTTAGTCCCTTCCTATCACACTTGATGCTTAAGACAAAGCGCAAATAGGATGGATGGGGGAAGGTGTGAAATACTCGCTTTGGCTGAGCGACTCTTTTTTTTTTTTTTTTTTTTTAACGTTTATTTATTTTTGAGACAGAGAGAGACAGAGCATGAACGGGGGAGGGTCAGAGAGAGAGGGAGACGCAGAATCCGAAACAGGCTCCAGGCTCTGAGCCATCAGCACAGAGCCCGACGCGGGGCTTGAACTCACGAACCGTGAGATCGTGACCCGAGCCGAAGTCGGACGCTCAACCGACTGAGCCACCCAGGTGCCCCTTGGCTGAGCGACTCTTAATGCTAACCCCCATTATGTTACATTAATGAAGACTGTTTCTGTGTTCTCCCTTCAGAGAGGGCACCATCAAACCTGGCGACAGGTTGCTCAGTGTGGATGGAATTCGGCTTCTTGGAACCACGCATGCCGAAGCCATGAGTATTCTTAAACAGTGTGGACAAGAAGCAACGCTGCTGATAGAATATGACGTCTCAGTGATGGGTATGTCGGAGTCCTGAGGTTGTGCTCACTAAGCTCTGGGTCAGGTCATTGTCCATCCCTGATAAACCACTCTGGGTTAAGAATGAACTGTTCTGTCCTCCTGCAGCAGACAGAATTTCATCAATACTCCATCATTACTCTGTTGGGTTCAGGAAGAGGTGAGTGGTGCTTTTCAGCGATTTAGAGTTCTTGTGTCAATAGCTTCTATAAGGTCTCATTCCATCAGAACGTTTCACCTGGCAGTCAGTTCTATGTAGATTATACTTTGGCAGCAAAGTATTTTCCCCTCCAAATCGCAAGAATAGTATTATTAACTAAAGGGCTGGTACTTTTTCTTTTACTACACGGAGACTGAGAAAAAAGGAGATTTCTTTCCTTCTTGTAACTTCGCAGCATGAGGCCAGCGAATCAGAATTAAGGGAAAAGACCAATCATTGTATCCTAAGATTTAGGAATAAAGAGAGGAAGGGGACCATATAGTATCAGTGGTTAAAATGAGAAGTTGAGTACAGCATCCTTTTTTTTTTTCTTTTAATGTAGTTGACCCACGATGTTACATTTGTTTCAGGTGTACAGCATAGTGATTCGACAAGTGTGTGTGTTTGCCATGTTCACCACAAGTATAACCACCATCTGTCACCATGCAACACCATTACAATACCTTTGACTGTATTCCCTTTGCTGTACCTTTCATTTCCATGATTTACTCATTCCATAACGGGAAACCTGTGTCTCCCGCTCCCTTTCACCCATTTTGCCTGTTCCCCCACGCTTTTCCCCTCTGGCAGCCATCAGTTTGTTCCCTGTGTTTAAAGGTCTGAGTCTGCTTTTTGTTTGTTTATTCACTTATTTGGATTTTTTCCAGTTCCACATGAGTGAAATCGTATGGTGTTCGTCTTTCTCAGTCTGATTTATTTCACTTAGCATAATATGCTCTAGGTCCATCCATTTTGTCTAAAATGGCACTATCTTGTCCTTTTCTATGGCTGCATAATATGTGTATAAATCACATCTTCCTTATCTATTCATCTATCAGTGGACACTTGGGTTGCTTCTATATCTTACCTATTATAAATAATGCTGCGATAAACATAAGGTGCATATATCTTTTTGAGTCAGTGTTTTGGTTTTCTTTGGGTAAATACCCAGTGGTGGAATTATTGGACCATATGGTATTTGGTATTTTTAATTTTTTGAAGAAACTCCATACTGAAGCACCAATTCACATTCCTCCCAACAGTGCACGAGGGTTCCTTTTCTTCCACATCCTCACCAACACTTGTTATTTTTTGTCTTTTTTTTTTTAATGTTTATTTATTTTTGAGAGACACAGAGACAGAATGCAAGTGTATTAGGGGCAGAGAGAGGGAGACACAGAATCCGTACAGGCTCCAGGCTCTGAGCTGTCAGCATAGAGCCTGACACGGGGCTCGAACTCACAAGCTGTGAGATCATGATCTGAGCCACAGTCGGATGCTCAACCGACTGAGCCGCCCAGGAACCCCACTTCTTGTCTTTTTTTTTTTTTTTTAGCCATTCTGGAAGGTATAAGGTGATACCTCATTGTGGTTTTGATTTGCATTTCCTTGGTGTTTAGTGGTGTCCAGAATCTTTTCATGTCTCTTGTTTGCCATTTGAATATCTTCTGTAGGAAAATGTCTATTTAATTCTTCTGCCCATTTTTAATTGGATTATTTGTTTTTTTGGTGTTGAGTTATAGAAGTTCTTCCTTTATATATTTGGGATATTAAACCTTTAACAGACATATCATCTGCAAATCCTCTTACATTTAATAGGTAACCTTTTTGTTTTGTTGATGGTTTCTTTTGCTGTGCAAATGCTTTTTATTTTGACATAGTCCCAATAGTTTATTTTTGCTTTGTTTCCCTTGCCTTAGGAGACATATCTAGCAAAATGTGGTGTAGTATTCTTTCTTTCAATAATGATTACAATAGAAATTAATTCTATTAATTTACCCTTACAACTATGGTAAAACTTGGAAGGTATCCTCATCTGGCTTTTAAATGTTAAGAGAGAGCCCAGTTTTGTGTAATGTTGATGAAGGCAGAAAAATTATGAAATAATGAATTGGAACTTGAAATTGAAACTAAATCATGTTATGTACACTTCTTAACAATTGTCAGACATGATCATTTGACCTGATTTTACCAGTAAGTTTTGTGCTGGTGAAATGTAGCAGAGAAAAGAGGCTTACTCTATCAACTGCAAACTCCTTTCTCCTTTATTTCCCACCCTGTGTGATTCATGTAGAACAGTGTTGCTTAAAAATATGAATATGTCTATTGGCCTGAAATGTTTTAAAAGGTATGAGGTTTCTAAAAAAATTTTAAGTATGAGATTTAAGGAGTTCTTAGCAGAATAAGCAGTACAGTATGCTCTTGACATGGAAAGTTCGAAAATGAATGAACTTCCCACCCTCCTCTACCCTTCTCTTGTATTGTCTCCCACCCTCTTTCCTTTTTCTTTCCCTTTGGTTATATAGGTTTTAAGTTAGATTTGGAGTTAGGCGATTTGGGTTCTGTTCTCACTGTACTGATTTCTAGCTATTAAGGTGGACCATGGTTCTTATTTCCCTGTGCCTTAGTTACCTCATTTGTCAAATGCGGACTTGCTTACCGTTTCTCAACTTTTTCTCTCGCACTCTGTTCCTCACTGTCTGTCTTCCATTCTTCCTCCTTTCCCTTCTAGCCACCCAATTCTTCTTTGATATTCTGCTCTCCATTTCTCACTATGAGTACTACTCTATTCTAACTGTCCTACTCAGCTTTTTTTCTAGTATTCCCTATAGCCATCCTCCTTTTTCTCTGTTTGTGTTTCTTGCTTTTTTCCATTCCTGTTTTCCTAATTTGGGTTAAGATAGGATTAGGTATCCATAAGCTCAAATAATTTTTTTTTATCTTTTTAACGTTTATTTATTTTTGAGAGAGACAGAGACAGAGTGTGAATGGGGGAGGAACAGAGAGAGAGGGAGACACAGAATCCAAAGCAGGCTCCAGGCTCTGAGCTGTCAGCACAGAGCCCGACGTGGGGCTTAAATTCACGAATCGTGAGATCATGACCTGAGCTGAAGTCGGACACCCAACCGACAGAGCCACCCAGGCACCCCATATAAGCTCAAATAATTGAGAATGACAGTTGGAGGAAAGAGAAGTACAAATGGTGTCCTAGAATATGAGATACTTTCAATTAGAATTGTTCATCAAATATGAACTGATACTTTCTATAGCAAAAAACACATTTTCCTTTTTTCTTGTAATACTTTTTCTTTTGCAACTTTTAGAGCTCTTCTTTCTCAACAGGAATAAAATGAGCTCTTATGCAACACAGCCTGGGAAAATGATGAGCAATAATAGCTCAACCGTATACAAGGACAGCATCAAGTACAAATAGCAGAAACCCAATGTAGACTAGCTTCAAGAGGGAATATGTTAGCCTACAAAAGCTTGGAGTCCAAGGTGTAGCCTGGCTTCAAACATAAGTTCAGTAATGTCATAGGCATTCTGTCTCTCCGATCTCCTTGCCTAGGAAAGCCGCTCCTCATGTTATGACAAGATGGCCCCAGCAGCCACACGCCTACATCATCTTGAGAGTTTATGATACCAGAGAAAGAAATGAGAATGGATCTCCTGTAAAAGATTCTCAGTGACTTAGCTTGGAGCAAAT